AATTATATCAATATTATCAGTTGGTTCTGCTTCAGTTGGCAACTCCTCTGATTTTCAAGGATGGTGTTTGAAGTACTGTGCTGGCTTTTTTCTTTGCAAAGTTATTTGGGGAGCTTTCTCCAAATTCCTTGCTGGTATTAAATTATCCTAGTCATCTCATCTCCTAAGATAGAGGAGCATAGGTAATTGGGGATTTCTTTTAAGAAATTATATGATGGCATATTCTTCAGGTGGCTTCATGTCTCTTGCACTAATTTCACTCTGGTTCTTGTCATTCTCCCTTTTTCTCTGAGATAGAACCATCTCTTCTGCAGCCGTATCTTCTGTGTTCTTCATGATCTGGGATAATCTCTTTGGAATCAGGTTCTGCAGTGTGGTCATTTGTCTTGTTCAGGCAAGACCTGGAGAATTTGACCCTGCAGGTAAATTAAAACTCACATTCTACAAAAACGTAGCTGTAACTTTTTTTTTACATTTATCCTATCAGAAGGCTTTAATGCTAAGCTTGGAAAAACTTCTTTTACTCTTCTAAAATGATTTAAAGATAACCTAAAGTGAAGTGAGTCATGATCTTCATGAGGTTAAGTCAGGTTTTTCAAGCAGGATAGAAGGGAATACACTGTTTCAATTGGAAGTGACCTAACATGACCATCCAGTCCAACGGCTTAACCAATTCCAGGCTTTTATGTCTTAAGAAAGTATGTACAGAATATGTGCTGCCTTGGCCATTCATGTGTGTATTGGCACAGTCTTTGAGTGATTCCCTCTAACCTGAGTTCCAGTTTATCCAGCATTCCTTGCAGAGACATACCAGCTGACATCCTGCAAAGTATTTATATGCATGACCCTTAAGGCTGAACTCCATTGATTTTGGCCAAGGTCCACAAGCTGGGTGAGACCGAAACGGATGTTGTTCAGGTATGGAGCTCAGAAAGACAAAGACAAGCCTGTTGGCTCTGATCTGCAGGCACTTGTTTTAGTCTTTTATTTTCAGCATGTGGACAGCCCTGTGTCTAAACTTCTTCAAGCATAGGTCCAGACTGCTATTCAGGGCATCAACGGAACACATACCAGAATGCTGAAATGTGAGAAATAAAGTAGCAGAAATAAAGTACCCCATGTAACTACTCTGTCTTGAAAAGTAAATCTAAGCACAAGCACTGTTTTATGTTTGATAATGTGTTATTAGGAGAACTCCTCCTGCCTACAGTTCACGCCAACAACTCTGGCACAAAGTGCCACTACCAGTGATGTTCATTCTCTCTGATTGCAAACAGTACTGTAGCCTTAAAGATGCAGGCCAATACAGTAACCTGTTGCTAATGCAATAAGCATGGACTTGAAATCAAGTTTTAAAATAGAAAAAAATCAGTGGCTATGAGTTAAGGGTCAAGTCTAAGTAAGTTTTCCAAAGAGCCAGCTGGTGTTCTGCCAGATCTTCTGGTTCACCCACAGACTGGTTTCCCTTCAGCTTTGTTGGCATCTCCGTGCTTAGGTAATGCCATGACTCTCTGCCAGGTTTATCTCGTATTACAAAATCCTTAATACTGGGCTGGAAGAGGTTGAAATGTCTCTCTTGATCTTACAGGAAAGAGGCCTTATTTCAATATGGCTACAGGTTTGCTGGTTTTTGTTTTTTTTTCATCAGTGCTGTGTTGCCAAGGTGCTTTTATCATGAATTTCATAGTATTTGATGTCCTGTAAGACAGGACCTAAAATATAAAAAGAAAGTGATGAAGTCCCAGTTCTCATTTTCAAGTGATTAAACAAGAATCTCAGCTTTCACTTAAGAAACACATTTCAAGGCTCAGCATTGTTAAGAAGTAATTGAAAATACTGTTAGAAGCATTTGAAAATTATTGAAAGTGAAAAATACTGGAAGTGCTTATACACTCTGCAAATTGAGAAATCAGAGTATGTTAAAAAATACATCTCACTCTTTTTATTTTTTAAAAAAATTCCATGTTTTGTAAGTTCATCTTGTGATTTAGGAACAAGAGCAGTCAAGTCTTTCTCTTTGACTCTGTCTGTTTCCCCCAATTGCTTACACTGTTCAGTTATTCAAATGTCTCGTCAAGTCAGGTGGATCAAATGGAAGATGTGGGTTTGGTTTAGCACCTGGCTGCTGAGTTTCAGCTTTAAGGGGACCCACAAAGGAGTCTGGTGCCCATTGATGTTTCTCTTCCACAGCCAGGCCACCTCACTCCGCCTTTTTTATTTCCATTGAGAAAAGCTCAAAATGTTCTCTCTGTTTCTTGAAGTTTGCTGCATTTCCCTTTGTGAATGTGAAGATTTTCCTGCCCTAGTTTATCTAAAAATAGTTGCTGACAGTGTGCCATCTGCAGCCCTTGTAACATGGCTGGGGCAATAGTCAGCATTTACAAAGGAATGTTTTTCTCTCAGATGTTTGAATTCAATCCTTATTGTTATTTATTAAATAAATACAACTTTATTTCCTGATGTGTTATTTATTAAAGACTAAGAGTTTATTTAAAATGCTAGGCTTTGTGTTTGCTCTCAGGTGAGGAATGACTTTTACTCCTTGTAGTACAAGTGCAGGTGTGGTGCTTCTGTGCCATGGAACACATAAGAATGAAGAAGTGCAGTGGGCTCCCTGCACCGGCCATCTGTGCTGGGCTGCACTTGGTCTGACTGGGCACAGCTCTTCATTTCCCTGCAATGGCATCTGGTTTGTGCCAGGAGGAGTGAAAGGTGGCTCAGGTTTGGTAAGGTGTCTTAAGCAGGTTGAAAGGCTTGCTGAATGGCTTTAGGAAAGTTAAAGCAAACATGATGAGGTTTTGAAGCTGGCAAACTTTTGTGAGGCAGGCTCATCATCACCTCACTCTGTGCTAAGAAATTTGGGCTGGAATCTTAACAGCTTTGGAGCACTGTTTTCCCGTAAAGAACGCTTACATCAACATTAGAAGTGAATACTGCAACTTGGATAAAAACTTAGTTAAGGGCTAAGTTCAGTTCCTAGTTTTGCTAACTAGCTGTCCTAGGACTTCACAGGAACCACTTTTTCTCTGCCTCTGTTCTGCTTTTTGGGTTTTTTTTTGGTCCACATCCCATTTCTGCCTTCCCCCAAGATACATTCTGTTTCCCACCCACGCCTTTCCTCATCTGAGAATTACTTAACTTTCTGAAGAGGAGTCCTGTGAAATGTATCCTACACAGATGCACTGCTAGGGTGGAGCTGGGAATAGAGCACGGGTGGAAACAAGGGACTGGGACAAGGATGAGGGAGAACAGAGGCATGAGCCAGCAGTGTGCCCAGGTGGCCAAAAAGACCAATGGCATCTTGGTTTGTATAAAAAATATTGTTTCAAGCAGTGCTAGGTAAGCGACTGCCCCTCAGTACTTGGCTCTGGTGAAGTTACACCTCAGATTCTGTCTCCAGTTCTAGGCTCCTCACGAGAAAAAGATGTTGAGATCCTGGAGTTAGTCCAGAGAAGGGTAATGGAGCTGGTGAAGGGTCTGGAGCCCAAGTCCTGTGTGGAGCAGCTGAGAGAATCGGAGTTGTTCAGCCTGGGAGAACAGGAGGCACAAGGGTGATCTTATCACTCTCCACAATTACCTGAGAGTGCAGCAAGGTGAGGGTCAGGCTCTTCTCCTTGAGCTGTGCCAAGGGAGGTTTAGCCTGGGCATCAGCAAGACTTTTTTCACTGCAAGAGTGACTAGACATTGGAATGGGCTGCCCAGAAAGATGGTGGAGGCATCTTCCCTGGACATTGTCATGAAATGACCGGACATGGCACTTAGTGCTGTGGTGTCGATGGAATGATGGCATTCCATCACGTGTTGGACTCAGTGATCTTGGAGGTCTTTTCCAACCTTAATGATTCTATGATATGGGACAACATGACACTGCAGCTCCAGAACAAGAGACCAGAACTGTTCTTTTCTGTGGCTCTGTAAATTTAAACCAGTTTATGATGTTGTACTGTCCCCTCAGAGGCTTTCATAAGCCCATGGTGTGCACACAGAATGAAAAGCAGCCTAAGTAGTCAAGAAAAAGTTTTGTGGGAGATGGCTTTCCATCTAGAGCAGGTGTTCCCAGGTTTGATCCTCCTATGCCTAATTTTAGTGCATAGCCTTTTCCATTGATTCCCTGGAATGAGTGCCTTCTCTTCCAGTGCTCTACCGTTTGGAGTTCCTTTGGCTTCCTTTGCCTGTCTATCAGTGTTAGTGAACAAGATTCTCCAGCTTCCCTGTGCTTATCAAATTCTCTTTCTCACTGTTGTTTACATATCTCAGCAACTGTCTCTAATTAGAACTCCCTAATCACCTTCATGGTCTCTGAGAGTGACAGAGGGTTTGTTTGTATGCAAATTAATAAGCTGGTGTAAGTAAAATCAATAAAGAACAGGGCTACAGCAAGGCAAAACCTAAATTTTTTTTATTGGAGAAGAGGGTATGCTTGTAAGCATGCTAAAAATTGCTTGGAATATGGAAATTCACTGGCAGACACCACTGTTTCCTATGAAGCTTTGCAGCCTTAAATTGGCACGTGGAGTCATGGCCCTTGAGCCAGCACCACCAAAACTGCTGCTAAGTTCACCATTGAATTCATCAACTAAGAAACTGAATCCTACATTCAGGCTTGTTCAAGAGTGAAAATCCTACTTCAGATCTTCCTGAAACAGATCAATATTCTTTGTTGTTGGACTGCAGCTGCACAAGTGCTGTGGAGTGTTGAAACATGGTCAGTTTGATCTTTATAGCCAATAGATTTTGGAAACTGGAGGAAGTAAGGTCACCTAAGTCACTAACTTTATTTGTCTATTCTAAGCCAAAAATGTACTACCAATGGAAGATGGCTGTTGTTGAGGCACCTATAGTGGAAGCCAGATCCACCTGAAAATCAGACTCCTGAAGAATGTGATATCCGTATTTACTGAGAGTGAGTGGCCTGACCTACTCCTGGGTTTGCCCAGAGCAGAGTTCTTGGTTAGTTTTGTCATTAGAGATTTTTAAGACAATATAAAAAAGACTCTCAGTAAAGCTGGGTTAGACTTCTGTTTTTATTGGTAGAGCTACTCTCACTTTTATCAGATATTGATGTCTTCCTGTTGTAAATACCCAGAATTCTCCCGTGTAGGCAGACCTTTGTGGCAGTGGAGTTATGCTGAGGGCTGCAACAGGTCATGACAGATACAGCTCATCAGACACCTTCCAATGATGTTTTCTGCACACTTCCAGGTCTGAGAAGCTGGTAGGGATCACTGGATTGGTTCCAAGTACAAAGTAGAAGACAGGAAAGTCTAGTGTATGTTGGGAAGTATATAGTAGGTTTCCACCTCATTCGGAGCAGCTGCGCTGGGAAGCCATTTATATAGAGCTGCTATGTGAAAGGAATTTGTATGTGTTTAGAATGGCTATATGTATATATAAAAAAGGCAACTCTGCATGTGCCATAGATTTCTGTATCATAAACAAGTCCTGTGAGGAGCACAGGTGGAGCTGGGAATAGATGTATGTATTTATGTCATAAGCAAATTTAATTCGGGGATACAACTGTCAGTGCAGCTAGAAAGAATCCTCTGAATTCACTGTTACAAGCATGTATGCTGGCAATTTATGTATTAGCTCCAGAGGGAAAGAATTATGTGTTCAGCAGACAGCTGATGAGTCTTGGTACCCTTTTGTGAGCCTAACTGACCTTCTTCTGTAATCACTAATCCTCATCCCACCCTGTCTGTCCCCGAGCTTTCCAAGTGGAGTACACTCAATCTTTTTAAACATTTTGAAATGGGCAGTCATAGTCTGTCATCCTGCAGACAATAAATTTCCACTGACGATCCCTGCATGAAAGAGAGACAAGAGAGAGGTATTAGTGAGCCAGAACTGCAGAAGATGCTATACAAGTGAGAGTAACTTTATATCAGGCATTATGGCAACAAAAACATCTGTCTGCCATTAACCAACAGAGTGCTCTGTGTTTTTAAGAGCTGAAATGACATTAAATATGTGTGATAGTTCAATTTCCCTCAGACTCCTTTACAAGATAAGAAAATCAGCTCTCTGAATAAGTAGGTCTCTGAGTATCCTTCGGAAGACAATGAATCCTGATGGTGATCAATTCTGAACTGATTTAATCAGTGACCAAGAGGAAAAGGATGATTTTGTCAAAAGTTATTGTCAGGTCATATATTGTTCAGCAATGTGTAAAAAATGAAAAGTACTTGGGTGGTTTGCAAGCTATGTCTAAGAGGGGAGTTATCCATACAGCAAATTTCACTTCTTTGTTTTTTTGGGGTTTTTTTGGGTTTTTTTTATATATGTCTTTCACTACTAGGTCTTCCAGTTAGTGTCCTTTAATAAAGATGTGAAGAAATCAATAGTGAGAGAAATAAAATTCACTTTTCATCCTTGATCAAATCACATGTGAGGAAGAGTAATGGTTTTTAATGTAAGGAGAGTTTATGCTCTTCCCAGTTTATGAGTGGTATTCTCTCTCAAGAGAGTAATAGGAAATCTAACAATTGTTAGTAGGAAGTGTGACTGCAGCAGTGGGATTCAACAGTGAAGGCCAATGATTTAGTGTCCAATAGCTGCAACAGGCTACAAATTTAATTTCCTCCTTAGCTTATTGTGCATTAAATTTTCCTTTGACAAATAGATATGAGTTCAGAGGATCAAATACTGTCCTGCTGTGAAGGGAATGTTGAATTTAGGCCGCTTGATACTGGCTAACTTGAATTTAGATCTAAACTACAGCCCTTGCAGATGGCAGTTGTCATTTATATTGGTATTGGGTTGTCCTCCAAGGGGTTTCTGATAGCTTGAATTCTGCTAATAGTGATATCTTAAAGCTAAGGCATGGGACAGGTAATGCTGCTAGAGTGATTTAATAGGAGTTTGCATTTCAAGACCCCTGCACCAAACTGGGGCCAAACTGCTGCCTCTCAGGAGTGTACTGAAGCCCCTGAGCCCAGATTTTGGTATTAACTATGCTTACATGGTGTCGTTGACTGGGCAACACTGTTCTGGAATAAAACTAGTTTGACTCTAAGCCTTGTAGGTATAAATTTTGTACCTACCCTGTAGGTATAAAATGTCTCATTGCATCTTTTGTTAACTGAGGTTTTTTAATTGGAAATTTACTGTGCTGCTAAGCTACAAGTTTATCCAGATTGTCATTTGGAACTGGGTCTGTGTCATGCTCATCAGCAAGTATGATGTAACAGTTATATAGTGTTCAGCTTTGGTTTTCTTTAAATCTTTCCTAGATGTTTCTAAATTGTAATTTCCTCGTAAGACTGTTACCAAAGATTAATTAAATTCAAGATTCATTTTTAGGTTTATTTTAAGAATCCTTTATTTGGTCTATGTGCATGCTCTTCAAAGAGTTATTACTCTTTTGGTCACTAAGTTACCAAGAGAGATAAAAAAATAAGGAGGACTCCTCTGCGGAAAACAGGATTATATTGGTCAAAGTTAAGGTCTGTGAAGTTTGCACCCGTTGCCAGAGAGACTTTCAGTTCAAAATCTTAGGTCAAGCATTTTTCTAAAATAGGGCATTGTGAAATTGAAAGTCAAGCTCTTTAAAAGAGATGTATTTCAGTCGCTTGCATTAATAACGTGCTTTATAATACTGGAACAGTGTTATTTCTGAAGCTGTCATTTCAGTGTGGTCTGGCAGACACTAGCATGTATGTCCATGGTTGATGCATTTATGTCATATTACCTTTTCCTCCCCTGTTACTTGTGATTAGCTCAAGCATAAATGGCCAGCTTCTCAGGATGCAGGCAATTACTTTGTATTATTGCTGCTGTGTGCTTAATTCAGTAGTTCTCAGCCTTTCATCCCTTACAAGTTTACCAGTGGGGATGCAGATGCCATCAGGAATTGCCTTATGAGGCCAACTCTAGAATATATCTGAACTTGCCTTTGCAGATCCTTAACACCAGTTTGTCATCCCCTCCCAATTGCTAAATTAGTGTATTTTCCTTGGCTTTGGAAATCAATATTGAACTGTCACTTTTGCTTTCCAGTTGTCATGTGCTATCACATTTGAATTTTTGATGTATAGAGAAATTTCTTTTATCTCCAAATATTGTTGAATAATCTGTTTCCAATTCAGTTAAAAAATTCCGTGAATTCCTATTCATATTGAGTTTGACAAAATCCTCTTTCATCAGTCATATGAAACTTATTAGGGACCTTAAATAGCCTATAATTTAGCTCAGCTGAGCTTGGTGGATGTCCAGCTTGTCTGGGTATTTCAAACATACTTTACTGTTGGGGTACCTGGCTGTTGAAATATTTTTCAGTGATGATGCCTGAACAGTTAAGAAACAACTGGCTATCCAGATCACCCAAATAAATGGAATAGAGGACAGTTTTGTCAAAGAAATGAGTTTATGACAGTCTGCATGTGCTATTGTTATACTACATAGCAAAGGACAAGCTGTGGCTCTTCCCAAGAACGCCTGGTAATTCCCATCTCCCTGTCCAAGATACTTGCTGCAGGTTGGGTTGTGAATATTCCAGTGCTGCTCTCTGGACTCAGGAGACTGACCCAACCAGATCACAGGCACCTAACAATGCTCCACCAGAAAGCCATACCATCATCACTTGGCATGTTTCAGAGCTCAGGCTGAAGGTATTATGTTGTTTGGTTTGTGAGTTTAGTTTTGGAATCTATTTTGCCAAGGGTTTGCAATGTGCATGTGTATGTGAGCAGTTTCAGTTGTTTACAACCTGCTTCACATAGCCCATGTCCTCTGAAATTTGACTGTATCAGTCTGTCTAACAGAAGATATTGCCCTTTCCTGCAAATGTTCCCTTATTTATGTCCTTAGGTCATCCTGTCTGCATCAGTGTTATCACCACACTCCTGAACAGGCTCCCAGAGATACTTCAGGCCTTTTCTAATTCTTTCCAGCTGCCTTTGTAGACAGTTCTTTTCTTCTTTTGACCTATTTAAAGTTAGTCTGGAAAATGTAAGTAGTAACCACTTCTGGAGTCTGTACTTCAGAAGCAAGCAGTTAAAACCTTTGATGATCAACAATAACTCATTCATTCCTGATACAGAGGCATGGAAACTCACAGAGAATGATTACAGAAGTGTTGGTGGGGATAACATCATTCTAAACTTTCCACGTCCTTTGCCACAAGCATCACATGCTGTTTCAAATATCCTTGTATCAACAGTGGCCTCAGTGGAGGCTAATGTCTTAGGGAGTAGGAAGGGAAGATATGATTTCTGCAAGTTTATTGAAAGAGTCTAAAAATACCTACCTGTTTGGAGTGTTAGGAAAAGCTTAAACTGGAATACCTTCAGATGCATTTTTTTGGCTCTTGTTAGTTCAAGAACATAGTCCATCATGAACTAAATACTATGTGCACAAGTTTAATGTGCTTGAAAACGAAGAGCAATTGAGAAATGTTCACATAGACAAGTGGAAATGTGCATGCTCTAGGCAGGCTGAGACTCAAAAGACTTTTTCCTGCTCCTGTTCTGCCTCATGAGGTGCAAAGAACCATTAAGGATGACAAATCTTGCTGACTTCTGTGATTCATACTGCTCAGGAGGAGTGTTACAGCCTAAGTCTGAATTCTGAACTGGTGTAGCAAGATTTATTTTTTTTTCACTTCATTCTCTCGGCAACACAAATTGTTTCTTGTTGTCCTGGAAGCTGAGGGCTGGAAAGTTCATTGGCACAGAAAACTTTTCTAGTTTGCAATACACAATATATTTTCTCTGTAGTTTCAGCCTGTTACTATTGCAGGTGCATGACTGCCACCAGCACAGAGATAAGACAAAGGTGTGCTGGTGGCTTCTTCCTCTTCTAGGCACTGTGGTCCTGTGAGGACCTGTACTCCAGGTGTACATTCCCATGGTGCTGCCTTTGCTCCTAACCAGTTGCTCCATTGCCACCCTGTTCTGAAGGCTGCCTTCAGCAGTCAGAGACAGAAATCTGCTCAGAGGCATAGGCTACCTTGGCTGCTTTGCTTTCCAGGCTTATCCTTGTGATTCCAGACTTCACCCTGGTCCACATCCGATGGAGTCTGGATTCCAGCTGCAGGGGAATGAACTGTCTGCATTATTTCCCCTACTCTCTGCCACAACCATGAGTAACAAGGACTAAGGATAGCACTGGGGAATATTTAAGATGAAAAGCCTGGAATGGGATTGTCCCTTATGACCTTGTAGTTTCTTTATCTAAAGAGATAAATAGATACCTTTGAGTCAAGTATCTGTGAATGTTACTATTCCAGTTGTAGGAAGAATTTGCAGACACAACTTCCATTTGGTAATAAACAGGATAATAATGTGTTTTAGCTATGAAATTACAGTTATGGACCTACAGCAGTCTTACAATGTGTTGTCACTTCTGGAAAAGCCTCCTTATTTTAGGTAACCTTTTGGCTGAGGGATCCCTCAAGTGAACTTTGGCAAGCTGAGAGCACTACAGTGACAAAAGCACTTTGGCTGCTTTGAGTGTTATTAGAGACAGCTGTAAATATTGATGTCTTTAAAGTCCCACCTCTCTCTTCTCTCCCCCTTCTCATGTAGCCCATCTTGGCAGAGCAGTGCAGCACACCTTGCCTTGCTGTCTGTGCTATGTTTGATAACAAATGCTTTCGTATACTGGACTGAGGTGCCTAATAAAAGACACCAGCAAAGAAATAGCTTATGACTGATGTATTAGAGGGCAGCTTGAGAGAATCAAGATCCCTCTCCCAGGGATCAGTGACTGCTTACATTCTTAAACCTGCTCTGTTAGGATCTCTGTAGCCCTAGGCAGACAACGGTGTGGGATTTATGTTAAACCCAAATTTTAAAACTTTGCAGTTGTGCATAGTAAAAAGGGAGAAACATTCCTTTTTAACTGAATGGAAAAATTGTGAATCCATTTGCATGACTATGGCTTCACTAGCCATAGATCCTCTCCCAAGAGGACTAGCAAATGCCAAGAAATGACCAGAGCAAGAAAATGTAGTTAACTCATTTTCTGGAAAGGGATCAAGGTGCATGGCACTGCCTGAATTCCTGGAGTGGCTTGAATCTGTTAGAATTGTGCAGAAATGGATTGGGCAGTGTAAAGCATTCACACTGCAGTTTGTATGGTCTTAACTTTGCATGCTGGTAGATTCCCTGTTTCTCTGAAAAGTGGACTAAAATATGTCCCTAGGGTATTTTTACTGAGCTCAGTGAAATATGCTCCAACTAGGGGTAGGTGAGACACTATACTGAGCTCTGTTGCATTTTGTGAAGGTCAGATTCAGCCCAACCTACCACTGCTGTTATTTTCACTGCTCAAATGGACATGGCAAATGATCACCATTAGCATGCCCTGCTGCTGATACACCACCCTGGACAAGGAATCATATGTACTGTGAATTTTGGTCCTCAGAATGACTACCTTGATGCTGAGTACCACAGCAGATGGTATGTAGCTGTGGACTTTTGGGGGAGAAAAATAAAAGACAGACTTTTAAAAATTTCTCATGAAACAGATAAGAAACAAACCTGTGCACAGCAGAGAAAGTTGTGGTTGCCCCACGGATGTAATAGTCGTAAGTGTACATCATCATGTCCATATCTTCTCCATAGTGTCCTGGATATTCTGTTGTTAACCTTTACATTAAGGAAAAAGAAGATAATATAATTCACCACCTTATGGAAGAGTCCAGTTGAATGATCAACTCAATCAGAGTTTCCTCCTGCTTCTTTGAAAGTTCTTGTTTCTTAACAGCACAAGATACAATCTCATGAGACTGCCTTTCTCCTCTATGCAACTAATTCAGGCAGGTATTTGAATAAAATTCAGCAACTTTAGAACAATTAAGAGCAAACTGCAGTATTGGAATATATGTATATACACCTACAGCTCTGATAAAAGATAAAATGTGCAGTTCAGATAAAAGCAAATTGAACAAGAAGATAAAGCTCATCTAGTACTTATGTCTTTGTTGCAGGGATTTGCTCCAGCCTCTTGTGAGTCTCTGGTTTGCAGCTGTAGACTTCAGTAAATGTTGCCAAGTCAAATGACTCTAAGCATTTCTCCATTTATGAATTATATTAAGTGAATGTAACAATTAATCCATTACTCTTTGTTGTTTCCTCTTTCTGCCTAATTTATAATGTAAAAATATGGGCCTGGACAATATTTGTGCAGTGTATTTTCTCTCAGAACCTCAAAGTGGTTCTTCAATTATTAAGCAAATGATAATTGCTGCTTCCCTGGGAAATAGGCAAGTAATACTGTAATTCATTTTACAGATAATGAGCATATTCAGAAAGGGGCTGGAAGCTTGACCAGTACTTTCTGTCAACATTATATTTGAAGTCTGAATGGAAACCTGGCACTCCTTGTATTACACCATTCTACATGGGAACTGCTACTGAAATTTGCACCTTCACTCTGAAATGGCAAAGAGAAGCATTAGGTTCCCTGTAAGGGAGATGCTGTCCCTGTGGAAATAAACAGCCCAGCTCGAGACTAACAGGGTTAAAACACCCTTACAGAAATCCTGACAATCTTTTCCTGACTTAATCCAGCCCAGAAGCAGTACTTGAATTATGCTTGAAGGTGATTCAAGCACATTCCAGCCAGCACTTGTGCATGTTCAGATTTTGTTAAATCCGTGGAGTTTAAGCACAGGTTTAAATATTTTACTCACTAGGAATATAGTTATCAGGATGGATTTGAGTTTTTATGAGATGCTTTGGTTGTATTTGGAGCCCAAACCTGTAACTGTTGCAGAACTCAGAAGCAAAAGTTTACCTGAAAAATGAGCTGCTCTGGGCTATTAGGTTGCTTTCCAGGTCATATTCAGCTTTTGAATATGAAAGATCATTCAGTTGGAACATCATTCCTAACAAATAATTTTTCCTTGACAAATGAAAAATGCGTCTGCATATAGAAACTCAAGCATGACCTTATAAGCACCTCAAGTTTAATCAGTCAAGTTCTTTGAATATATCTTGTTCTCATGCTTCCTGTTCTTTGGCCATGACAGTCACACACAGATTCTGAGTTACAGTGCAAGGACACCCATCCCAGAATGTGTTTGGGAAGCAGAAGATCAGGCCTGGTCACAGTGTCAGAGTTCTGACCAAGGACATGTGGATGTGCAAAGCCCTTGCGGTGCTCTGCCATTGGTAAGAAATAAAGAAGTATTTCACAGGTCATGCAGCCAGATGTTGCAGACTAGGAGAAAGAGAAGAAACCACAAACATGTCCCACTCAGCCAGAGGAGAGTCCCCATATTTAGTTTACTAATTTGAAGCCTGAGTGTCTCATAGAGCATCTTCAGAAAATCCAGGGTCATAGAAGGTTTTAACAATGAAGACCAGCTATGGATCAGCATTTAATTTTACATTCTGCAGTCAACTCCAGGTTCTGACACTTTATTTAGCTATTATTATGAGAAACCACTAAGATATGTGTTTTTATATGTTCTACAAAATGTGTTTCATAACATCTGTTTGGCACTCAGCAAGGAAAATGTTCTGTAATATTGACCAGCAGTATGTGCTGGGCAGATGAGACTGTGTGCAAGACAAGGTTAAAAAGCTCGTTTTTGCTCTACTCAGAAACAGAACTGAGAGCCAGTTCTTGGAAGTTCTTTCATGGGCCTCTCGGTTGAAAAGTAAATCTGATGACAAATTTCTGATTTGCTGTGGTCTCACAGACCTTTTGAAAAGGCATGCAGTATTATTCTGAAGTGCACTGGGAGTCTTCATTTAGCTTCCCTCTCTTTTCTTTCTGACTGCTGTCATCTTCCCCTCCCTCTCTATTTGAATCTCCACATTACCATGCAGCCTCTTAAGGCTCTTCCACTAAGAAATGTTCAAAAAATAAATCTATGCAATTACTAAAAATAAATTATTTGGGGACTTGAGCTGCTCTGAAGTGTGTCTTGTTTCACTGGCAGATGCCCCCTGACTCCTTTTGTTCTGGAGAGAAGAATTATAAATAGTGCTATGACAGCAGTGTTCAAGTTCACATGAGTCTGTGTGGTCTGGATAATTAATTTCTCTTTGATGATTGCTGTACTCATTTCTGAAACTGTTCCCCTAAGCCCCTGCATTTCAAGGTTGTCTGGCTTGCACTGTGTCCTTTAGAAGAAAATGCAATTGATTGTCCATGTAGCAGGGCTCTGTGCTGTGTCCCATTCCTTTTCCATTATCTCCGTTTTATGAATCTGTCTGCACTTAGAGATGCTCTAGTGTTTAATGCAAAGGGATAGTCACTATGTGGTTTTCTCATCATAAAGGGGAGAAAGGTCATTTAAGACAGCCATTGAGGGTCTTCCCAAAGTGGTCTTCCTGCCACAGGACAATGGTTCCCTCAGGTTTTGTTGTAGCTTGGTCTGTACCCTCAGTATCAACTACTTAACTGAGAATGTTAAATGTGAGCTTGTCAACTTGTGAGCCACCCACATGGCCCTACAGACACATAATTTATTTACAAACATGGTAGCATTTGTAAGGCACATGTGGCAATGTATGGCTTGTATCCGAGAGGAGTCTCAAAACGAATGTGAGACGCTTTTTGCCCTAGTTAGTGAGGTTGGCCTGCCCGTGGGCTTTTCATTTGGGAAAAGTCACCCACAGTAACCTTCACAGTGCCCTGTAAGCACCTCTGGCATTGAACTCCTAGCAAGGAGAATTGGGCTAGGGGAGCAGCGAGAAGCCTGGGAATTTCCACGTGCCCAAAGTTGCTGCTGCAGTTTGGGATGTTGTATGACCAAGCCTGTGGTGGTAGGTGGCAGGCGGCCCTAGGAGAGAGGCTGGCAAAGCAGCTGTGAGAAGATGTGTGTTATAGCAATTTTGGGCTCTAGGCACTGAGAAATTTGATGCTAAACAAACTCTGAGGTGCAGGGGCCAGCAGGGTGTGTTTAGTGGAATTGTTTGTTAAAGCCAGATACACACCTAAGTGTTAAGTTTAGGGAAGGACTTGTAGGGGAGAAAAGAGTAATGTGAGACTTTAAAGTGGTAGTCTTTTCAGTCTGTGTGATCTGTTTGCAACAAAATACAGAAAACAGGAGTTCTGGTTCAGCTTTTCAAATCTGCTTCTGGATAGTATCAGGTGTATGATGTTTGGGCACAAGAGACTTGAAGCACCAGTGACATTGTGGAGAGATGAGAAAGAAGGTAATTCTGTGTTAAAGACTGGGGAAGGAAATCTGGTGATAAGGGCTGTAAGTAGTTTGGCCTGTGTGTGAGACAGCGGGAAAAGTTGGCAGAGAAAGGAATTTTCATAATGGCATTTTTAGCTAGAATAGAGTTGATGTGAAATGGTTTATCTTTTCAGTGGCTTACATCGCTCCAACCATCCACACGTTTTTCTAATATATTTCACTATAATCCTATAAATCTTGCTCAGGGTAGGATATGTATTGAAAAAAAGGCATTAAATCTTTACCAGGGTTACTGTTGTTTTTATTTTAATCTGAAAACAGCTGTGTTGTTTATTTTCCATGGTAAAGAATTGCTATGGTAGAGATTAATAGAAAACACAGAGTTATTAATTTAGCACAGAGAAGAATGTTGTACTAATCTACAGTGATCCGTGGCACTCTTTTAACAATTGACTTTAGTATCATGAGTCTACTGTTTACCAATAGGAAGGTCAATTGTGGAATATACTTATTCCCTGATAATGAGTACATGGTTTTGGAATATCTTACACTGTTCAGTTCTTGTGCAACTTACAGTACTAACAAGATGAATGGCTTCTCTTTAACCTTAATTTCCCTCTTTGTCACTGAACTCTTCCTCTAACAATGCCCCAGCCAAAAGAAAGAGCTGCTCCATTTCTAGAGGGAAACATAAGCTTTGACATTAACTTTCTGACATTTGAGGACAAGGAGTGCACCTAAAATGCCTTACTTTCAGATGATGTTTACAAGTACTTCAAGAGCATGTCCTTCTTAAAGGAGAAATTTTTTTTCAAGACCCACAAGCCTGCAAGTTGGATGCAATGAACATGGGAATTATATGCCTCTTTAATAAATTTCATCTCTTCCTCCAGCTGGAAGACAGAGATCATCTGCTTTAAAAAATGCATCCTATGCTGAAAAGCCAAAGAAGGTCTTAGTAAGCTGTCTTACAGAAATTCTGGCAGCTGCTCTGTGTAGATCCCAGATTGCCAGGCTGCCAGGGAACTAGAGGTGTCCTGGAGCTCCTCTAGAGATGAGAAGTTCGCTTGTGTGGCCATGTCATGTGTTTTGGGATGGAGTTCAGGCTCCAGGCTCTGAGCCCACAGATTCAGACGGACACATCACTGCTCCTGTTCCCACTGTGTTGCACTGAAAGCACTCCTGGGGCTGAGGAGCCACGAGGCTGACACAGTGGGAGCAGAGTTCTCCCAGGCCTGCAGGAGCTTCTGCGATGCAGCTACAAGCAGCAGCAGACAGCTCAAGGCAACTTGTGCCTGTTCCTCAAGAAAATAGGTCCAAAATAAGTTGGCCAGATTTCCAGTATCAGATCAAATGTGTTTCTCCTAAAATGTCTCTGAAAGATGGTCCTGCAGATTGAAATGTAAGGTTATATTTGATGGGTAATATTAAAAAAAATCCAAAAAACAACCGCCCTCAAACAATTAAATAGCTTTTAAAAAATGGAAAAAGAGGGGAGGGAAATTGGGTTCTCCAGACCTGCATGTTTTCATGACATCTGTTCTGAGTTCACCTCTTGGATTTGCATCTCTGCTACTGGTTATCTCTTCTGAGAAACCTGCATAGGATCACATCATTTTCAATATGTCTTGTGTGGCAGGTTGAGTCAGGAAAACAAATAAGTACTTTAAACCCCATAACTCTTGGAAAATGTAATTGTTGCCTGGACAGTGTCACCATGACAGAGAGCAGCCAAAGCTCCAGACAGACCTTCTGGCATTTAAACTGCTCCTTGTCTGGAGTGGGGAAACAGTCATAAACAGTCTGTGCACTTGGGGCTGCTCTGTGACATGTGTTTGCTTTTCCGAGTATGGAGTCAAGCTTTCATTTCCTGGCAAAGAGAAAAATCGGGGCTCTAATGGGACCACTTAGTAACACTGTCTCTGCATCTGTGATAGATTTGCTTCTTTATGGTGCAAATCAGCGCACAGTTTATTTAGTGTGGTAGCATTCCCTAGCCAGGTAAAGTAAAGAGAGCTTTTCTGCCTCCTGTGAGAAATGCTGATTATTTTCAGTATGTTAAAAATGTGCAGAATCCATGACAAGTCTTGGCATGATGAAGAAGGAAACTAAGTACTTGTAAAAAAATTTACAAAGCAAGTGCAAAACTATGAGACTGGAAAAGATTAGTACATTTATTTTCAATATGAGCTTACTGTAGAGGTAAACTGGGAATTAATGGTGAGAAGATGAGCTGTAAAAGAGAACTGTTGGGTTCAAAGAGTAAGGATATAAATGCTAAAAAATAAAGTCCTTCTGCATGTATTTGAATTCAGTCATTCTATTAAGCAAAGTGAAAGCAAAGTGTTGGTTTCAGCCAGCATGATGGTGTTATAAATTAGTATTCCAATAAATAACTATCAGTTTTCAAAAACTGCAGGGATATTCTAGGTGTAAAAACCAGGATACATTCTAACAAATCAGTTCCATGGCTCATGCACATAAAAAAAAAACCCTGTCTTTATTCATTGTAGGATCATCACACTTCAGGAGGAATGTAGTCCTGAAGCAGAAGAGACAAGAAAGACCATACATAAGATCAGCTTTTCTACTGTTTTTATATTTACCAGAGAGGTCTGTATGGAGACAACTGGAAGAAGAAGGAATCAAATACCCAATGTGAGAGGTAATTTTGTCACACCTCAATATTGTCAGTTTTCTTAAAAATGCATTTCTGCCCACATCTGGTTTCATACTTAAGGATACATTGCACATTGAAAGTCAAGGCTGCTGAGAAATTCTACAGCATGAATTTTCTTTGAATATGGATTTTCCTGTGTAATGTATGATCCACAAAGTACCACCATCATTGCATACTTTCCTGGCATTACTTTTCCACATAGCTGTATACTAATAGAAGCCTTTGCATGGAAATAAGCCTTTGTGTCCTACTTGCATATACAATGTGAGGTCTTACTCATGGTAGGGAACTGCTTTGCAGTTCATTTGGAAAACATATTCTTTTTGTCAAATACATCTTAACCAGTGCAAGATACAGACCAGAAGAGTAATGTGTGAACAAGGTCTTGTGACAATGACTTGGAAATGCCAATGAAAGCTAGTTTCTAAGTGAGATCTCCTGAGTTTAGGGGATGGGAAGTTTGGTTTCTGTACACTGGAGTTTAAAAATTCAGACAAGTCACATCTGTGACTTCACGAGTAAAAGTGAGTCCAAAGCGTGGGGTTTCACACTACCCCAGTGAAGTTCATGTTGGTTTTATGTTACCATAACAACCAGTACTCTCCCAGAGTACTACTACACTGTCTAGGCAGGGAAAGAGAGTAAACCAGAAAATAAACCATTCCTAGCAGATGATAGAAAAGAGACCACTGTTTTGGAGGAGAGACCTTATCTGCACGGTGTGGGTACTCCAGTAAAAAAGTCGTACTGTGTGGGACCCCAGGATGACTCTGGTGAAAAGGGGCTTCAAAAAGTCTCTGCTACAGCCCTCTGCTCCAAACAGGGCCAACCACAAGGTCAGGCCAGGTTTCTCAGCTTTTATTTGGTTCAGTCTTGAAAGCTTCCAAAGAGCCTCACTGGGAAATCTGTCCTCACAGAAGAAGCAGTTTACTTTACATCCCCCTGAACTGGCAGTCCTGCGCTCAAGCACATCAGCTGCACCTCCCAGTTTGGTGTCCCGTGCGAACTGGGCCAGCATGTGCTCTGTTGCCTTCATAAGGTCATTGATGGAGACAGTAAGCAGGACAGTAAGGCAGGGTATCACCCTCTAACCACTGCCCTCTGAGCCTGTTAAACCACAATGTTTTAACCCATTTAATTAGGATCTGTCCATCCAGACCCTAACATCCTAATTTGGGTAACTGTATGTGGAAAGAGTATATATGTATATACATACACCTTGCCAACTCTAAAGGCAGAATGTTTTCTTTATGAATCCATAACCACAAACTATGCACCAGAAGCTTTTCACAAGCCAGGTGACACAGCTTCCCACCAGTTTTACAGCTCTCCCCTCCCAGAAGAATGTGAGTACATGGGATTTCTACCCTGCTTAGAGGGAAAAACTCTTCACCTGCTTTTGAAATGCTGTCTTTTCTGCATGGAACTGCAGGTGAGCTATGTAAGGCTTTCTTTCCCAAGCACAAAAATGGAGAGCTGTCACTGTTGGAAATGGAAGGACAGTATAGGAATCTGCTTGCAGCTGAGATGAAAACTAAAGGCTTCAGTAACCCCAAACATTTATATTAGGATTTACCTTACTCTGAATGCCAATTTACAGAGCAGAGACAAAGCTGTTCCCAGTTGTCAAGACAACATCTGAGGGAAGCAGAACTGTCAACAATAACAAAAAAAATGTCAAAATTTTCTGTTATCTCTCTGAAAATGTATGCAGTATTACAGGGGTACAAGAGCTTTGGAAGAACTGCTTAAAAGTCTGAGTGACTTTCCCTCAGAGGGAAGAGCCTGGCAGGTATACAAATAAACTCCCAGGTAGGGAACATCCATAGGCAATGTCTGCTGGAAAGGAGGCAGAGGAATGTTCAGAAGAATATTCAAAGACTTTGTTACAGAATTCCTGCAATTTAAAGGCATTAAAAATAATAATAATAAAAACATTTCTTTTCCTCCTGGCTGCAAGGAGACTGAAGGATGAAAAGCAAGGCAGTGCTGTTGTCTTTGGCCAGTAGCCAGCCAGCCAAGTAAGACCAACAGGCACATAAACAGTTTGTATGCATCTCAATGGCAAGCTTCCTTCAAAGCTGAGGTCTGGAAAAAGAGATTCATCACAGGTTTACTTTTTTATCCCCTACTTTTTTTTGGTTTTTTCTTAAATAGAGGTGGGTTATTCTTTATATCGCTGAAAACAGCTAAATTTTAGCTGAATGTAACCCCAGAGCATAAAATTATGAGTTCCATTGAACAGAATGGACAGGAACAATATGACCTGCCTCTACACATTCTGCTTCTGTCTTTGGTATTAATTTAGAGAAACCACACCTGTGGTGTGCTGGGAAGCTTGGGATGCATAGCTCATTTTTCCACAATCTGTTAAATTGCCAGCACCAATTGTGATACTCTGTTGAGAATACCTTTTTCTTTTGGGTTTATGATCAGTAGCTCATTTTGGCTTTGACAAAATGACTCTTTTAACAGTTTTGAGACAGGAAGCATAGCTGTATGCACTACTAACATTTCTCCTGAGGTATAAGTTCACTTTTGTAAGTCATTGTGGCACAAATTTGTAACACGGAGATGTTCCTACTCCAGTAAATGTGCTGGATTTATAGTGGGAAAATGTCATTCCACTTTGGAGACTTGTGTCATGGTTTCCAGCACAGCTAGGCTGGTGCTGATCCCCAGAGCTGTTCATTGAGGGCCAGCTGCTGAGTTGTGCTGTTCAGTGTAACTGCACCCTTATTCTCTTCCCTTAGCCTCGCATCCTTAAGAATCCTGTAATGGACTGGAAATAACACGCTTAGCTCCACGAAGCACAGTTAACTCTTTTTCAGACAAGGTTTCTGACAGGTCAAGCAGCCAAAGACATTGATAGGGACTGTTGGGGGAAAGAAGCTCACAGGTTTGGTGTCTGCTTGAACTCACCAGCAGGAGTACGGGCATCTCCGGCTATAGCGGCAGCAGTAAAATTGCCATTCACGGTCCAGCACCGATGGAAAATACTGACTCTGGAAACCAGCCACCAGCCCATTGTTTGAGCAGGTTTGATACCTAATAATGAGGGGAAAGAAGAGAACACACAAGGAAAACATGGTATTAGATTCCTTGATAGTTTCAAGCACTTCTCAAAACAGCATTAACTTTTTTGATATAGAGTGCAAGTTAAGGGTTTGACTTTGTGCTGAGAAACACTGTTTGCACTTGCTGTCTATAGTGTAACTATTTTCTATAAGAAACAGCAGTAACCAATGTCTTTGCATTTATGTTGCACTTAAAACTATTTAATCAGGCTAAAGCATTTAATCATTCCAGTATGCTAACCAGGAAAGAAGATTGTTCTGGTGTTTGTATTCTCAACTGTTTACAAACCATGAGACTGACTTTAATATTTTTGTCTATGACTGTTAGTATTTGAGGACTTGGGCTTCATTGAACTAACCTTTTCAACTACTTCTCTACCAAAAAAAAGCCAAAAAAGAAAAAAGCTCAAGAAGCTATTTTATAAAATAAGTTCATTAATTTCTTTAATTGTTTTCTTTCACAACTATGTATCTCTAGGAGAAGGAATTCTTTATTAAAAACATTTAAGCTTATGATAAAATCATTATTTGGTAGCAATCACATAAGGAGAACTGCCATTTAGATATTATGTAATTTTAAGGCACATAAATTTTATGACTGGATTTTCAAAAGAAAAATCTGCTGCTTCATGCTTTCTGTGAGCTCGGTAATTCTATCATACATACGTGTGAATCACTGCCTTGAGGTGGAATAGACATGGTCTCAAAGCATGCATGCCTCTGTCTGCACACCCTGCAACACCTTAACACTGATACCCAAAGTAGTTCAAGTGGTAATCAGTTTGAATAACTTGAGTATAGTCTTGGAGACTAAAGACAAGGAGCTCATGAAAACAGACAGGTCATTAGTTCAGCTATTGAGTGCTCCTTCTCTCAAGCACCCTCCTGGACTCACTGTTTCCCTGTCATGAAAATTACAGGAATGCCTTTTCTTCCATGCTTTTCCTTTTCTTTCTTTCCCTTTCATCAAGGAAACCTGCAGCAAACTTTCTCTGTGATTTCATAGAATCAATTACAATGATATATCTGAAAATCTCAAAGACACTTTCAGAGGTAAATTGTATGATTACAAATACCAAAATGGTATTTGTATGTATGATTAACAAATACCAAAAAATCTCCTTCAGTTTCATTCAATGACCTCATGATTTATTTTCACTACCTGAAGTTCCCAGGAGGCAAAACACATCATCTAGCAGAGTTTGGTGTTTGGAAAGTTATTCACTTGTGCTCAGAGGTGTTATTGCAAAGGCAGCATGAGGCTGAAGTGTTTGTATGCAAAAGCTGAAAAGCTCATCCATTTTGACCAGTGCAGTGATGAATTTCCCTGCCTAGTTTTCGGCTTCCACTTTAGAACCCAAGGGTCTCTTCTCTCTCTTCCCTTGAGCTCTGTTGTTCAGCCAAGAGTGTTTACACTTGTTTGTGTCCCTGTATCTCCCACGCTGATGGGGCCACACGTACTTGTTGTGCTTTGTGAGATTCTAAGGACCTCCAGAGTTCAGCCGTGATGGGGACTCTGAGTTGCCATGGTATCACACTGAGTGCGGCAGCCTGCCTCTCACTCAGAGGATTTCCTATCAGGACTTTGATAGGAAGTTGTTCTGACTTTTGGCACATAGGAACATATGGCTAAGACTCTGTGTAAACATGTTGGATAGCTGCAGATGATTGGTGTTATCCTGATGGAAGAATGGTTGATACACAGCAATATGGCAATTGGTTGTACCTGTTGCAAGATGAGCATTAAACTGTGTAACGTAGCAACAAAATTTCTATCCCTCACCCTTTCAAGCTACCTGCGCTTGCACTGCTCAAGTCCTTGTGCCCCTAGGAGATTTTCTAGTTCTTTTGCATGTGTGTGATATTGAGAGCACTTTGTTTCTCCATTTCCTTTGTGTTTACTCTCAGAAGCTCAACACTGCTCTACAATTTCCCATTCCCACCCATCAGGGTCTGATATTCCTGCTCATACTTGTCTTTGTGGGAGGTTCTTCTTTCCTTTCTCTTCCCACCTGCTCACATTCAGTCTGGGAAGTCCTGCCCTCTTTCCCACTGTCTTTGTCCTACAAAAGTTTTTATTTTATTGACACATTATTTTCCACTAATATAGTCCAGTTGTGATGGAAAGATTAATTTTGAAAGAGATGTCACTCATGGACACTTCTCTCTGTAGTGAATTGAGAAACAAACCTAGCTAGCATAACTCTCCTATGCTTACATGCACTCATATTGGGGAACCAGATTTTAGGATTAAGTTTGATTAAAAAAATATAATTGGTATTGCCTTAAAAATTAGTTTCTTAGATGGAAAGTATACCTGGACATAAGCAATGTTTTATAATTAAATTGCAGTTTTGTTTTAACATATTTCAAAGTAAAATTTGAAATACACATTAATGCTCATGTTCACTTCTCTCTTTGCTTCTGTCTCATATACACAAGGTCCTGTAATCTGTTATTCAAGGTCAGTATTAGGTTTAGGAAAAGAAAGATAATAGTGATGTTGAAGTACTTTTCTTTAGCTTTGAGATAATGTAAAATTTTTTGCCTTAATCTTTCTAGTTTTCAAGTAAAATCCTTTCAATACTCCTTCAAAAATGAAGAGATGCTCTCAGGACTTAGAGTGCTTATTTGCAAGCTCATATAAAATATTTCCCTCTCTTTCCTTTTCCCACCTGGCCACTTTCCTGCAAACAGAAAGTAATTCTTCAAGGGAAACAAACAACCCCTCCCCACACACCTTTTCAGTCAGTTGCCCTATGCATTAATCTGAAAACACCACTTAATATGTCAGAATTTTTTCATTCTCTGGCCAATTCACTACTTTTGTCACAGCAAATCCTGAAGCAATCCTGAAGGGTGAATAAAAACTAGTGATTCAGGAACTCTGATTTATAGCCAAGTGAAAACAATGCTTTCTTTCACAAGACCCACTCTTTAGCACTTTTACTATAAAGGGTAATTCGGTATTCAGAGTTAATGTGACTGGGTTCTCCTCACTCCTGAAATCCTGACATTGCTAAGAAGAGAGGGAAATGCCTCTTGCAAGGTGAATGCAGAAGAATGTGAGAAACTGGCTGGGGTTGTGTAGGATTCAACTTGGCAGTGGATAGGTTTTCTTTTTCTAGTTGGCTCAAGTAGTGAAGTGTGAAGAGTTGCCTCTTGGATCTGGTACTGGGAGAAGAGGAGGTGAGCTGGCTGGTAGAGGGGAGTGAGAAGATTGGTGGTGAAGATCAGGGGCACTTGGATGGGAAGTTGCCCTTGCCTTGGGTAGAGGTGTGGAAAATGACAGTGTTCCACAGAAAGCCTCATTCTGGGGGGAGTTCTGTGTAGTAACAGGGATGTGGTATCTGAGACTTTCCTGGCTTGCTGTGATTCCTGTGAAAACCTTCACTCTGCCAAATCTTCTTCTGAACTGGTTAATGAGTGTTGTACATCTGAGGTGTGTCATGGCAAGCAATCAAAGCATGTATCCATGTTACAGATTTAGTTCAGGTCAGAACTGCTTTTGTTCTTCACTGGTGAGCTTTTACCTGTGAGACCAAACAAAAGCTGGCATGAAACAAACCCACCCAAAATCCATATGTGAAATTGGATCTGTGCATGACATATTTCACCCTATAGATCCTCTTAAATTGTGCCACATTATTTGCAAACATCAATAACAACTTCAGCATGTTCCTCATTGACTCAACAGGTATCTGCCAGACTGAATACAAACATTGCTTACAACAATAGAATTGTTTTGAGCAATGGAATCAGTTTTGGTGTCTCTTCATACTTATGCCTGCATCTTAATTTTGCTCTTTGCTAAGCAAAGCCCCAGAGTGTTGTGCCCCATCTAATGCTGGTGCTGTGTGGTCCCTTGTTCCTCAGCTACATCAGCAGCATGTTATCCTGAGGATGAGAACCCAAAGAAGCAGCCTGTTCACTACAAATCTGCCCAGGGAAGCCCAAGTCCAGCTGCAAGAAGTGGTGCTGTTAGAGCCTGCACTGAATTCCTGCTGCACTGACTGGGCTGGTGCTCCCTGAGGCTCTCTGAAAACACACAGAGGCTGACTCACAGCTCAGTAGGCACTGGGTCGTGCTGCACTGAGGGTGATGTGTTCCTAATAACAGGGTAACCTGAGAGTGTCATTCCATGTCCCTGGGGAAGGGAGGCCCTATGCTGCTTTCCTGAGCTTTGTGGAGTGTCCTCCCTATGTGCAATAGTATTAATTGCATGGTGAGAACAAATTCAGTGGTCAGTCTGTTACAGGTGAATGGGGAGACATAAGAGGCTGAGGGAAGGCTCAGGACATTTGCAATTCTGGCATCCAGTCAGAGGGAACGACTTTTGACTAGGCCATGTCAGTCTCCAAAAGCCAATTCTACAAGGAGTCTTTCATATCTGTTGGAAGATTTGTTGTGGGGTGCTGAGATGTTGTTATGACTTCCACATGCGAAAGTCAGCCTTTGTAACATATTCAGCAATATTTTCTTTAATTCAGGGGGCATTTATAACTTACTTTTTGCTCCCTGACCAAGGGAAGGCAAGGCCCTTTTCACCCTGGTAATTTCTTCTTGACAGTAGCTGATGAGGCCTCCTTTTCTACAGAAAATTCCTGTTCTCCTCAGATGCTCCCACTGGACTCAGTCCACTGCAGCTGTGCTAAATGGACTTGTAGCATTAGGCCTTTAACATAAACTTAGGGCTCTGAAGAAAATTAACTTGTTTTTGTAGACAGTACAAATGGGAACAATTACAAAGAGCAGCTGGATTTGGTTTGGGTAATACAGCCTCAGATTTGAAATTTGGGTTTGGTTAGAGGCTGGAAACAAAAATAGTTCCTACTGATATACTAAGGTATGCTGCTAGAGCCTGAACAGATTGATCCTTTGCTCAGTAGTCTGTCTTTGCACCTAGTTTGTGAGCAAAGGAGGGAGAGAATGGGAGTGGGGAAGGAGAATCTAGATATCTGTTTTTTCTAAGTCTCATCTAAACACTTTCTCAGAAGTCTAAACATAGAAAAGAGGCAATAAACATGGAGTAAATAGCTCTTGGCTGGAAATGCTTCTCCTTTTTGCTTTACAACAAAATATCATCAATATCCTCATATTCTGGGAGTATATTGAGGATATGGCATGGTTTCATCTGGATCATGCGGTGTAAACCAAACTTATTTTCCTGGAGGGAAGAGTTGCTTGTTTTCACTTGCAAGCTTTTGTTCCTTTGTTTGTGTGAACCCTGTCTTTTGGTATGATAGATTTCAGGCAAGAAAAATATTTTTTCTCAAAACCCTTGTTCAGAGACTGGTCTATAGAGACAACTGTGTAGTATTCAACAAAGCAGCGAAGAATAGTCTCACCCTCGATCACTCAGACCTTAGGTGGTGAAATATTTAAACAAGGTCAAAATTTCTTCAGTACAAATGGAGATAAGAACATAAAATTTGTGCTCCCTGAAAAGATAGGATTCTTTGAGAAACCGCAGCATAAAAAATAGTAGAAGAATTGCAGAATCAGGATATGCTCTGGAGACTTTTCCTTACCCCAGGCATGAGTATTTCCAATTCATCCAGGAACTGGTTCCTGCTCCCAGTTGTTCTCTCTCTGTTGAATATCATCTTGGTTAGCAGATAGTTAACCTTACTCTGAAGGAGTAAGGTGTTCAAACAGATTCAACAAAGCTTTTGTACATGTACTTAACTTTAAAGTTATTCACAGATTAGTGAGGCTGAGAAGGCATTCCTATCATCTGATCCAATCTATTGCCACAATTTCCCCTTAGCCTTGTAACCAGTTCACAAGCTTCTTGTGTCCTTTCAGCAAAACACAAATGCACATAATCTCTTCAGAAGTGTATGGACATATATGATTAACTTCAGGGGTGCATTTATGCAGTGGAGCACCATAGTTAGATAAAATCTGAAAGGCCACTAGGGAATTTGAGGTAGCAGTCAGAAGGGATTGGTCCTTCATGAGTCTGCTTGTGAAAGAGCTGGGGTGCCCCAGAGAACAGTTTTTAGAGTACCTGTTCTGTCCATTGACCCTGGAAAGGGGCAAAGGTCATCACTAGGCATTAGATGCCTAATGTGGATCTGTGACACTGCCCTCTTTCTGTTGAATAGTTTTTTCATATTTGAAGGATTCGAAATTTTATGGTTCGGTTGTCTAAGTCTGTATAACCCCTAGTGTTAGTGAAGGAAGTAAATTTACCAAGAAGCTCTGCCAGTGGTTCCCTCTTGCTCCAAACTCTCCTATCCTTATGGTCCCCACATCCATTTCTGTCATTTTGCCCCAAATACCAAAAGCCAAAGAAAATAATAAGTTGGAGACTCTTTATTCTCTCTTTTATATAACCTCTTCATTTTCTTTCTTAAGCTTTTCTTGATTTATTGTCTTTTCTAAAGAAACCCCTCTTGAATTTGTCTCTATTGTGCAGCTGCACAGCAGTCATTTGAAAATCACCATTTGAATTTTGAAATGCCATAAGCATAATTTGTCAAAGGTTATTTTTTTGGTGTTTCTGCCAGACTAGATTTTCTGACTAGGGTTCTGGCTGTGAAACCAGAGGGAATTCAGAGAAGAGATGTAGGTATGATCAGTACTTGCTTAGGATTGTTGGAATATAATACCTCCAGAGGAGAACTAGAAGAATGGAGATGTGTTTAGCCTGAAAGCAAAAGCATGGGTGAAGGTGTGTGGGTGAGGGAAAGGCATAGCTGCTACCTATTATTAAGTAAAAGATTTTACAAAGGATGCAGCAAGCTTGTTCTCATTACTCAGTGAAGGTAGGGTAAAGAGTAAAAGGCCTCAGTTGCAGCAGAGTAGCAGCCTTTGGCACTGGTTCCCACAGCATAGAAAAGCTGGAAGCCCACAGCTTGGACAGATTGTGGAGTTCACCATCCCTGGAAGTGTTTAAGGACAGACCAGATGTGGCATTCAGTTGATCTGGTGATGTTTGGTCATAGGTTGGACTCAATGATTTCAAATCTTGTGTGACCTAATTGATTCTGCAAGATTTTAGCAAAAACTTGGCAGACTTGTAGTTACTGGTGGTACAAGCAATTGACTATCCTTGGATGTGGTGTGCAAGGTGAGACAAGATACTCTGTGAGACAGAGCTGAAGAAGGAACATTTCAGTCCATCCTACCAGGATGGGAAATGAACTAGCAAGTCCAGCAGACTTGCTGACAAGAGAATGATGTACTGCTCAACCACCAGCTTGTGGGGTGATCAGCAGGGAGGAGAGCTGGCCAAACAGGAGCTATTGGTACAGATGGTGACTCATATTTGTGGTCCCACTTGAATATTGAGTGAATGTGTTTAGAATTGGGGGTGGCTCCAAATAGCACTGAGATGGGTGTGGAAGAGAGAGAGAAGAGGGGGCACCTACGAGAAGTAAGAATGCCAAGAGAGAAGGCAGGATTCTCAAAGGTTCCCCAGAATATATTAGTGCCATCACTCTAATTTTGAGGTTACTCTGGCCTAACTTTCACTCCAGTCTGAGATGAGACTGCTGGGTTCTTGGGCAGCAGTGTTGGCATGACCAGGGATGTGCTGGCACACTGCAAACCTCTCTCCATGAAGCACTGCAGATACAACTAGCTCAGCCCTGGGGGTGGAAAACTGAAATCTGCAGAATCCAACCAGGCACAAATAGCTAGGATTTATGGAAATGGCCCAAGTAACTAGGAGCACAAGTTCACCCTTGCAAATTGATATGAAGGAAGGGAAGGGAAGGGAAAGGGAAAGGGAAAGGGAAAGGGAAAGGGAAAGGGAAAGGAAAAGGAAAAGGAAAAGGAAAAGGAAAAGGAAAAGGAAAAGGAAAAGGAAAAGGAAAAGGAAAAGGAAAAGGAAAAGGAAAAGGAAAAGGAAAAGGAAAAGGAAAAGGAAAAGGAAAAGGAAAAGGAAGGGATGTTGGACTGGAAAGGTGAGCTAATGAAGAAGTACTAAAATAACTCAAAAAACTAGTAAAGGGAGAAAAACAGAGAAAAGCAATTAAAGAGGGGTTGAAAAAGAAATACATTTGGAGAAAATATAGGGTTTGCTATAGGAAAAAAGTAGGCAACAAAGAGGACAAAGTGAAAAGATGTTTTTAGAAGGTGAAGGAAACAAGGTTCAGCTAATGCACTGTGAATGTAGTCATGCTAAGCATACAGAGCACAGTGATAAATGGTTACATAGCAGAAGAAAATTTTCTGTATAGACTTATACAGTATCCTGTTTGTGAGAAGTAAACTTGAGCAATTGCTGCCAGGGATTTTTAGAAAAAGAATAATAGGTTTATTTTGAACAAAAGAAATGTTTCAAAAATAATTCAAAATTATTATTATGTAAAAAATAGAAATTGTATCAATGTATAAAAATTAAGAAGTCATCCAGGATTATCACAATGTGTTCTTTTTGCTTGTTTTGCAGCTCTCCCTGGTTTTTTTTCCAATCTTATTCCAAAATTAAACATAGGGTAAATCATTTTTTCCCTTAGCAATTGCATCAGCCATAGGCATGTGTCACGTGGTAAATGAAAGAGTATTAATAATTCGGAACAAAAAATTTGAATCATATAAAAATCAGAAACTTCGCATTTCCTTGATAAACTATTCCCATATAACAAAATTCAAAAAATCTCATTGCAACTTCTGGTACAAAACCACTTCAGCTATTCAAAAATACTCATTCCTGCATGCATTGCATTCTGTCCAAAGCACATTTTAATCCCAGAGCTGTCCAAAACTCTGTTTTCCATTTCATTAAAAAACCTCAGAAAATAATTAAATACTGGGTATTCTGCCCAAATATTAAATACTGTACAATTTCCAGAAATCATTGCAGCCATATAATGTGATCACCTTTCCCCCCAAGGTTGATGGAAAATGTAACATTTAGTTAAGCAAATTGACAGTATTAGGAAATTAACATGATCTGCTATCACCATGCAGATATTTATGCCACCACCATCGCTTGTTAGTGTGGATTTTTGGCTCTTGTAATAACAGTACAACTAAAAAACAGCACTTGTCTACACCTAAGCCAAAAAGCTTAGCAACAGAAACACAAAGCAAAGAGCCAGTGCAATACAGAGATTATTTTTTCTAGTGATAAGAGCATGAGGATGGAGTGAGGAGTTTGGAAATTTGTTTCCCAAATAGTCATTGATTCAGTATGACTTTGCAAAAGGGACTTTATGCTCTCCTGTGAAGTAGGTCCTTGCCTCATATTCCTTATCATTGAAACAAGAGTGAGACTGACCACTTCACAGCTGAGCTTGTGAGTGACCAAAGGACCCCACTTGTAAAGCACACTGACACCCTCCAGCAAAAAATTGCTACAGGGAAGGCAAATGTGAGGCTGATCAGCTCCATGCATTGTGATTAATGAGTCTTAAGGCACTGAAGCCTGCTGGTTATCATGGCATTCATATGCATTTGCATTGCTCTGACCACAGTATTAGGACCCACATTCCACAGGGGTTATCCGGGCTGTGCCCTCCAGGGATGGTTGGGGTTATCCTACCATTCGGTTCCTGCCCTGTTGATCTCTTCCCACCAGCACTCTGTCGGCTCACCGAGGCTCTGGGATGCTGGCATGCAGGCATAGTTCCACAGTCTGTCAGAGCCTTCCTTCTTGCTGAAGACGCTTCTGACGGCCACGATCACCTGCCCGTGTGGGCACTGAAAGTTGAAACCTTGCCGGTACACATTGACCCATTCATCATTATCTCCATAATTATAGGGACCATAGTAATAGTCACTGTACTGGCCCCATGCCACAGTCACCAGAGGCAGGAACACACAGAGAAGGAAAATGTCCATCCTGAAGATGTTCCTGGCTTAGAAGTGCCCCTCTGGGTTGTTGGGCTGGCCCTTTTATATTGCCTCTAACATTTGGCTTCCAGATGTTATGTTTTCAGATCCAAGCACAGTGTGTCATTGCTTAGCAAACCTTCTCTGAGCTACAGAGACGTCCAATTACTTTTAAGGTGGAATTCTGCAAGTACAGTAAGACTGCAGTCCTTAAGAGCAGGGTCTTCCCACCACCACAAACCATCTGATATCCTTTACTGCAGAGCTACTGTCTGCAGCAAGCTGCATGTCACAGCTGACACAGACATCCTCAGGACACTTTCACCCTCAGGACAGAGGTTAAGCTTGAAAATGACTTTATTTGAAATTAAAGCTCTATTTGAAGTTGCCATTTTCCATCATTAGTAACATGCAATTGAATGTGACCCTCTGTGTGTGTGTGACCATCCTCTTTTTCCTAAACATGTGTGTCATGATTCTGCCAGTGCCTAGAAAGAAGGGAATTGGGGCAGGTGAGGGAATTCACTGCTCCTCTTGAAAAAACTCCTTTAGAAATTTTGGGTTGGTTTGGTTGGAGGGAAGGTGGAGCCCAAATGACTGAGACTCCTTTGGCGTGTAAAAAGCCCACCCTGAGAAGTAGGGCATTGGCTTCCTCCAAGCAGAGCTGATTTTGCTCTGGCTGTGTGTGAGCTCTGTGAAACTGTGGACTCTGCAGATGCTTTAATTTGATAAAGCACATAAGCAAGGTACAATGAGAAAAGCTTCATGTGTGACCAGAACCTACTGAAATCTTGGAGCAAGGATCTTGAAGCTACCTTGATTTTATCATGGCTTAGGAACAAAAGGCTGCTGCTGAGGAACTGCTGTGTTGAAAATTCAAGTCTTGACTCGCCACTTGGAAAGGGTTTATAATCAACATTTTTAGGCAATTTCTTTTTCAGGAACCCACTCTTTTCAGGAAAGTCTGGAATGGTGTGCTTTTCTTAACTGTGTACTTGACCCATAGAAAACTCTGGAATTTGAGCATGTTTTAATAAGTAAAACAGTCCAAAGTCAATCTAACATAATTTTCATGCCTATGTTGCCTCTGCTGTGTTACTAATAAAATGTGTGACCCTTGAAACAGCACCAGATTCAGATTCTGTCTCTTTCAGTGAAATCCAGAGACTGTTTCCTTCTTGCTGCAAGCTTCTCAAATCCTTTTACTACTTCTCTTCCACCTTTGGACCGTGCCCAGTTAAAAAGGAAAATAATAAGAAAAAAAGTTTATGAGCTTTTATTCTGTTGCTGGTACTGACAAGAAATACCTGTGATGATAACTGGACTTGCTCCTCTCTAGGGATCTCCGAACCCATCCTGCCTGGTCATAATTTTGCAGGAGCATAAGCATCCCAGGAGGCAGGTGCATTTACTAACAAACTTCAGATGTCAAAACTGCCTCCAGCCTCTTCAGCCAGATGCTTTTGTGCCTTTAGCTAATAGCTTTTCTTGTAGCAAAGCCTTGTTCAACAAAACTGTAGGTGGTGGTTGGCTCTTTTCCAGAGCAGCGCAGTAACATCTCAGTTGTCTGTGCTCACAGCCAATGCAGATCCACATGCACCAGGCAGGTGAGAACTGCTGGTGTGGCTCAGTGCCTCACTTCTAGCTGCCTGAGGAAAGGGACTATGCAGAGAGCAGAGAAAAGCTATTTCCTTGGAGCTGCCCTCCTCTAGATCCTAGGTAACAGTGGGGGACATGGGTACTCAATGTCTAAAGAATGGAAATTTAAGATAAAAAAAACCCTGTAGTTATCTGATGAGCACCAGAATGCATGAGCTGCTCAATCTCACACAAGTTTTTCTGCTAACTCAGTAGTGCATTTTTCTCCCCTCTTACTTCTTTAAACACACAGTCACATCAGGGAGTACTGCACACCACTGTATATGCCTAAGAAGCATTCTGGAAGAGGTTTTAGCAGGAAGAACCACATTATCATACACATATGATCCTCACCTCACATAACCCTTTATAAGCACCATTCCCTGTAACAAAGTTCTTATATAACCCACAATATTACAGGCAAGAGGGAAGGAGAAAGTGGAAAGAAGGCTCTAGGGAGACTAGTCAGTCTTTTGCCTACCTTTGACATGTGTGTGTAGCTTTCAGGTGTCTGTGTTCACTTCTTGCCTAGTCTACCCTGCCTGATCCCAGTTACTGGATAGAGTGGAATTTTCATGCTGCACAGTGATCAAAAAGTGGCTTGGCTGCTATGCAGGGAAGGTAGTGAATGCAGAAGATGTGGAACATCAGCTCCCTGTAGCAGTTTTGGCAGTTTAGAAATGTCCTGGCCAGCCTTATTCTGTTGTGACCACTGAATCAAGCACAACAGTTCAAAAACCAGTGGCTAGAAGAACTGCAAACTGATCTTGCACCTTGGTGTCTTTGGTTGTCTTCTGCTGCAGTTTGTACTGCAAGAAAACCCTGATATTTAAAAATCAGTCCCTCTCTGAAATTATCTACCCTTTAATTTGACTTTAAAAACATCAGCTGCATGCCTTGCACATCCAATCTTTGGAAAAGCAGAAAGTGTCAATGGAGTAGTAAATATGAGGTGCTAAAATCAATCATTCATTATCAGTTCCTTGCTTTGGAATCTATATTGTATGGTATTTTTTTTCCTCATCAGCTCTTAGCAATGTTGCATTTAATCCACACAAAAACATTAATTTCTGTCCTGCCCAGTGGTGACAGATAAAAGTGGTTATTCTTGATACCCTGCCTCCCTGGCCTAACTTTGGAGTTAGCTCAACTTTTCACACAATTTGGACTAAAGAGGAATGTTCTTCCCAGCTTGAATTATTCAGTGTTTCTCTCCTACTGAAGGTACTAGATGTACCATTACTTAGTGATGCAGGTGTTTTCAATGCTTTGGAGCCTTTAGAAGAAATGCTGCAGTATTCTCTTGCCATGCCATGATACAGGCATGAAATGCAGAAAAATTTCAGTGCTTTGAACTAAAATCCCAGGTGCAGAAGTATTATTTGAATGAATAACAGTAGCCAGCCCAAGCTCTATGCTAAGATAGGAGAAAGAATGCTAAAGCTTTATCTATTATTTGGCAAACACAAAGATGCTCCAGCTGCGATAAGAAAAGTGAGGGTTCAGACTTGGTCAGTGACAGGTACAACTAGATCTGTTTCTACAAACTGAGTTGCATGAAAGTAGTGTCATGTGGTTTTATTGGAGTATCTGTGCTGCTTAAGTTCCTGTGTCTGCAAAGGATTGGCTCATGGGCAGCCAGTTTTTACCCCACACTGGGGGCAGGAGGAGCATATGAGGGTGTTATCTCACAGCATTTCACCATTGGGATGCATAGGAGAGATTCCATCTCGTATTACTCAGGACTATGGCCAGAAGTGAAGTTTTGCATTTTGGGCTGGTGAAGGAGGCTGAGTCTGTAATACTGAGCCCTGAAATCCTCTGTACACAAAACAGGTATGGCAAAAGCAGTACCAGTAGCAGCAGCAATATATGTCTGCTACAAAGCTAATAAACTGCATTGTGGCATTTCACTGTGAGAAGAAAATGTTTTTCATGACAGCTCATAGCATTATTCAGGTCACACACTGTGAACATATTTTCCATATTTTATTGCACACTGTCTCAGTGTGGTGCTGGCAGTTCTGATAAAGCAGAGTGGCTTGGATGAGTCAGGGAGGCTGCATGATCTGGGAACTGTAAATTGAATTCAATTCCAGCTTACTTTTCCTGTCATCTTTGCAGCATGGCTTTTATAATATATATATATATGTTCAAAAAAAAAATAAAGGCACCCCAAATCCTCAAACTTTTAAAAGCAGAAAATTTATATATATATATATATATATATATACACACACATATACAGATATATATACACAAATATAGATATAGATATAAATTAGATATAGACAAATATATCTCTATGTTTTCTGCATGGTCAGTTGTCATGAAAGTCTGAGGATTTGGGGTGCTTTTAATACGTTTTTTTAAACGAGATTACAGAAACCTTGGTACTGTGGAGGACAAAGCTGCTGAAAGACTATTTCATAAGGGGTAAAGATATATCCTAGTCAACTTTTTAGCTCAGAGATACTTTCTTCTTTCAGAATAATGTATATGGTGAAGGCTGGAGTTCATTTTTTAAGTTTTCCTGCTATTAATGATATTTTGTGTAGCTCCATTCTCTTGATGTTCTCAAAGTATTTTGATTAAACCTTTTGAACCACATTTTTGAAAGACAGGAAGGGTTAAAATCCTTTCCACATTTGGGTCCAGTGATCTGCCTAATGTCCACCAGTACCTCAAGACTACCAAGAGATTTTAAACTTCAGCATCTAGACCGGAGTTAAAATCCTATTCCAGTCCTGGGAAAGCTCACATTTTCCCAACCTTTTTTTCCTGCTACTTCCCTACAGAGATGCTGGTTCAACTTCTACTTTGTGTATCTCTTTGGTGCAAAAGGGAAACTCCTACTTAAGATACTGTGATACTGGAAGATATTGCAGAGCTGTTTTTTCCTTGGAAGTAGCTGTAGAAAATTCTGATCTGATACCACCTGGAATATTGTTGTGGACAAAAAAAAACATTTGCTGCAGTGCTATTTTTCCAAGTTAACATAAGCCTTTGAAATGCTTTTTAATAGCTTCCTTTCTGCATGTGTAGTATTAAATTATGGATTAAGTAATAGAAGCAAAGAGGAAAAGCAAAACTTAAGTCACAAAGTCTCTGAGGAAAGGGTAAGAAGGCTGAACTGAAACACCAGTAAAGAAAAACTGAAACAAATTTTCTCTGTCTGGGAAACCATCTAGATGCCATTATAACTCTTTTTCTTCTGTGAGTCTGAGATCTATTGTTTGAAAACTCAATTTTCAGGTAATCAGCAAACAACAGCTTCATAGATTAATCATCATTGCTAGATCAGATAACCTCCAAAAACTGCTCAAAAGCAACAGTCACAAACCTTTGTGAGAAACCTTCCCCATCTCACATAAATCTTTGGGCAGGGAAAAGTTGGATATTGGAAAAGAGCTGAGTTGTGCAAG